GGGAGTTAAAAGTAATAAAAGATTCTACATTTACATGTAAAAAAAAATTTATTGAAAGAATGTGGTGAAAAATAAATTGAAAAAAAATGGTTTTTAAGAATTGTGTTCGGGTAGAGGCTATGTATTTGCTTTGACTTATTTTTATAATATTAAAATTACTTTTTATCTATACATTTTAATGAATCCACAAGTACTACTCATTTATTCAACAATCATTTATATCTATTTATAATTTAAATCGTTCAACAAGACTTTCTAAACATGCTTTAATTGTATGACCAGTTGCAAACCCACAATCGATGAGCCATAGCAGCCATCCATGTTGGCTTCATCAAAAATTTTCCCCATAAATTTACATTTGCTTGGAAAATTATAAATAACTAGTCATTGTCACGTGCGTTGCACGAATTTTATATTTATCGTATTTTTATTAACGTATAAATTTTAGTTTTTTGAAATGTTTTTGAAGCAATATCTAAAAATATTTTCATAATATAAGAAAATAATTGCAAATTATTTTTACATTGTATCATCTAGAAAAAATATGCTTTTATATTTCATGTTTGAATAAAAAATATACGAGATTATACAAACTATTTTGTCTATATGCTTTCACAGTGTTGATATGATTGAGTTGAATATGAATATTATATTTCTAAATTTTATGTAATTCAATATTGGAAAATTGAAGATTGAGCACAAAGTTATAATCGATTTGCATATTCATATGCGTTTATATTTGTGCTTCATATATTTTAATATTTATTTTCTGCTTATGATGAAAAATAAAAATTTGGAATTTTTTTTTTTTTTTTTTACATTCGTTTTGGTAAGTGAATGTACACTGTTCTGCATTTTCGGTATTTATAAGTGCAAAACCTGGCATATGAAAATATGGTAAGCTGCAAATACAGTAGACAGTATATACGGCAAGTTACAAATGCGGTAAGGTGTAAATATGGTGAGTTGCCTGTAAATACGATAGGCAGTATATACGGTAAGCTGCCTGCAAACACGGCAGACTGCATTTAGGGATTTATAATTTGTTATAAATGTATAAAATTTATTTAATATTGAATTTCTAATTTTTAAGAACTAAATGTTGTGATTCAATATTGTCTTCTTTTTTCGAGAATTTTAAAAAAAAAAAAAGGCTGATTATGAAATTGCTAAATTTTCTCATAGTGACTTTCCCATTTTCAAGCCATCCTAACAAATGAAAAAGCATTGTTGACTAAATAAAGTAGATTAAATGAGGAAAATAGTAAACACGTTCATTATGATTTGTAATTTATACAAGTGAAAATAGATAAAAATCATATTAGAAACAATCTTTTAAGGTTTGAGGTAAAAGATGAAAAACTAACTTAGATATTTTGTCAAGAATCTATGGTCAAAAACTATCTTCGAGAGGAATATACATTTGAAAAAAGTAGAGAAAGCGAAAAAAAAATTACAAATAAAAAAAGGATCATCTCTTCGCACAGTGCAGAGAGAGTTGATCTCTCCGCAAGTAGAGATAATGTTTCCACTTTGGGTGGACAAAAACTTTTTTTGGGGACAACCTTTTTACCTCGACTAAAATAATTAACCTACAAATGCATATTATTTTTCACATTGAAAATTTATGTGAATAAATTAGAATTTTGGTGGAGAATTGTTACATATATGAGATTACAATGAAATTAAATTTAGAGCTTGACGAGAGTTTTTGTATCCTGTATAGATTATTTTCTCATTTAAATGTGAAGATTATATTTCTAAATTTTGTATAATTCAATATTGAAAAATTGAGGATTGAGTACAAAGTTATAAATCGACTTGCATATTCATATGCGTTTATATTTTGTACTTCATGTATTTTAATATTTATTTTCTGCTTATGTTGGAAAAATAAAAATCTGAAATTTTTTTCACATTCGATTTGGTAAGTGAATGTGCGATATTTTGCATTCTCGATATTTATAAGTGTAAAAATCGGTATATGAAAATATAATAAGTTGCAAATACGATAGGTAGCAAATACGGTAAGTTGCCTGCAAATACGGTAAGTTGCATATACGGTAAGCTGCGTATACGGATTTATAATTTGTTATAAATGTATAAAATTTATTTAATATTGAGTTTCTTAAGTATGTTGTAATTCAATATTGTTTTCTTTTTATATAATCGTATTTTCGGAAATTTAAAAAAAAAAAAAAAGAAGAAGGATGGTTATGAAATTGCTAATTTTTTTCCAAGTGACTTTCCCATTTTAAAGTCATCCTAACAAATGAAAAGCATTGCTCACTAAACAAAGTAGATTAAATGAGGAAAATAGTAAACACGTTCATTATGATCTGTATTTTATACAAGCGAAAAATAGATAAAAATCATATTAGAAACAATCTTGTAAGGTTTGAGGTAAAAGATGAAAAACTTAGATACCTTTGTCAAGAATCCTGGTAAAAAACCTTCAAGAGGAATATACATCTGAGAAAAGTAGGGATAACAGAGAGGAGAAAAAAGAAAAAAAAATTACCAATAAAAAAAGGACCATCTCTCCGCATTATGTGGAGAGAGTTGATCTCTTCGCAAGTAGAGATAAAGTTTTCACTTGGGATGGACTAAAGTTTTTTTTGGGCCAATATTTTTACCATGCTTTATTATCTATCGACTAAAATAATTAACCGTATATTATCTTTCATATTGAGAATTTATGCGAATGAATTAGAATTTTGGTGGAGAATTGTTACATATATGAGATTACAATGAAATTAGATTTAGAGCTTGACGAGAGTTTTTGTATCCTGTATATATTATTTTCTCTTTTAAAGACTTATTATATATTGCTCTCTTGAAAGAATCTCAGTTAGTTGGACAATGAAGCGGAATTACTTTGTCGGGGGAGGAAGATTTTCCAATCGGTTCAATCAGAAAGGGAAGTCAGGTCAGAAGTAAAATCATTAGTGCTAGTAGTCTGGTCGAATTTATGATTATTTTTCATGTAACGCAAGATTATTTAATAAGCAATAAGGATTAACATTAATTAGTTAGTAGTAAAATG